CGCTCCCTGGGGCCGGCTCCACGGTGGACTTTTTTTCACTTTGGAGAGTCGCCTTAGGGCCTGACTGGAAGCACTGGCGAGTCTCACCTCTCTCTGTCTGATTTTATTTCTCCTTGGTTCCCCGCCCGCCCCGCGTCAGTTCTAAGTTTAGCTAAGGAAATACTCGGCTTCGACTCTCAGAGCAACCCCCTCCCGTTTTTTTTCTGATTTAAAAAAATATGTATATATCACAATGGATGTAATTGGAAAAATAACACAGGTAGTAAATCCACAGCGTGGCAGCTTTAGTGCCATTGTTCTGCCGGCCCGCCCTCTACTTTTCCTCTCTGTCTCTGAGTCGTTCTCTGATTGTCTCCGTTCCCTCGATGCCACCGTTTGTGAAATGATGTTACACTTCTTTCGCAGGGCATTTCCATAGATAATGGGGTTAGCACCTGCCTGTGATGGGAAGGAAAGCCCACATCCTGTTTCATGTTTCTGTACGTCTACCTCTGAGCCTGTGTGACAGCCTCAGGTCACCGCCGGGGTCGCTGGCATCCGCGTTTCCCGTGTGTCCGAGTCCAGCCTGACCCTGGCTCTTCTGCTCACTTGATCCCCCGATGGGGTCTGACTGGCTCTAATTGGCAAGGAGAGTACAGTGCCATGCAGCCTGTAGCTGGAAGCCTTCCTCCCACTAGCTCTGTGTTCTTGATTTTGCAGCGTCTCTGGTAATTAAAATTAGTCTTTTTCCTGTTTCTTGGCTGCTTCTCATCCATCCACACATGTTGTGCAAACATCCAGTCTCTGCTTTTTAAATGGTGCCCTCAGGATCTGGGCTGATTTCTTGTTCCACAGCAAAGACAAATTTGTGTGTTCACATTTAATGCTTCTCTACTCTTCCATCCTTTTTATTTTCTTTTTCCCACTTTCCAGTAATTAGGTTATTTTCATTATGTGTTAACTGAGGGATTGTTGCCGAGATTCGACTTCTCTGGGCTTTTTCTCTGCTTGGCTGGCTCCACTCCGGCATCAGGCTGTTGGTTCACAGAGAGAATCACCAGGACTTTTATAACCTCTTTAAATATATCACAAAATGGATTCAAGGTCTAAGAGCTTACAGCATTTTTTTTATTGTGCAATGAGGTTTTTTGCCTTTAAACGTTTATTATAATTGAGCACATTCAGCCTTAATGGGGAATAGAGAGGTTGAGCTTGCTTATAGTTTGTTTCATGTCCTAGAACACCTTTATATTACATGTGATTTGATAATTTGGGCATTTGAGTCATTATCTCATGTATTTCATGTATTTTCTTTCAACTAGTGTTTTTTCAGAAAGGATTCATATTGGCTTACAGACATTTTTTCAATTAAAAATTAATCAAAAATGTAGGTCAGTCAAATCAAGACATAGGGAAATTGGTAGACAGTAGGAGAGATACGAAACCAGGGATGAAGTTTAGCGAGGAAAAAATCATTTACATTTTGTTAGAAATGGCCCCAAGTTTACCATTAAGATAGTAGCCAATGTAAAGAAGGAAGCATTATCAGTCACATGATTCATGGCTGCCTCCCACAATTAACATGAACAAGGAAATTCATGTTTCAAATGATAGAGATGTATTAAATTGTTCTCCTTTTTTAATGAAAGAATCTATATAAAGGCTTATAATATTTCACTTTTTGTAGAGGAAGTGATAGCACAGTAATTGGGCAGAAACATTTTTGTAACAAGTAGATGATGTAATAGCGCTTTTCCTTTTGAGGTTATCTGATAATTCAGAGGAAGGGAAAGGAAAGGATGAATCTGATTAATTTCTATTATTTCATATTTAGAATATTAGCTTCAAGTTATAATTTGGTGGTCACTAGGTTACATGGACACATTTCAACAAGTCAGAATGAGTGACTGCATTATTTTCATTTCTTTTATAATTTATACCATTCTGTTTTATAATATTAGGCAATTCTATATTTGCTATTAATATTATATATAACATCCACATATGTGCTATAGACAACATTGGTCTTTCTGACTTATACATCTTGCAGAAAAATTTAACATTTTACTATTGTGGAGTTTATTTTTGTGCTGCGTTTTTTAAAATCATGTTTGGAAAGCAAGGGGTGATACATAGATCATGCATCCCTCTGTATCCTATTATATCCACAGGGTTCAGGTACACACAGTTCAACATTTGAAATTAGAAAGACAACAGTGCATAAAGTAGGAAGCAGAAAAAAATTTTCCTTGTAGGAGGTCTGCCAAGAAGAAACTAACTCATGTTTTCTAAATTTTCTCACATGCATCAGAACTAAGATTTTCTATTACTCTCATGGGAAAATGGGATTTTAAAATATTGTCCTAACTTAGAATTGTCTTCAAAAGACATGAGGATTCATTCCCCATTATAAAATCCCAATACTGTTTACTTTGAAAAGTCATTAAAAGATCTTGTGTTTGTCTCTATTTCAGAATGTTAGTGACATTTTTTAAAATAACCAGCTCATAGTCTACCCTGATAAAATATCATTTGAATGTTAAATCAATTAAAATATTCTTTGTAAGTGAGTTAAGTGGTTTAATGGGTCATTTTCTCCGTGCTGTGGTTAGAGTACCTGGACCTAGCTGTCATGTTGCTTATCTGAGCTTGTTGTCTAACCATCTTTGTGTAAATGTCTTAATCTCTTTATCTCCTGGTCCCCAGTGGGCAAGTGAGCAGATGCAGCACATCTGTAGCAGTTCAGCTGCCTCCAAGCTTTTGTCTTATTTGTGTTACAGATTTTTTCTTTAAAACATGCCCTCTTTTTTCTCTCCTTTCATATGACTCAAATAAGGTTCTAGGTTCTATTTAAGAGATCATAACTAAAGTTCTGTCCCAACAAATTACACCATAAAACTTAGGGTAACAGAACAAACTCAAGTTCAGTCCTTTTCCTTGGATCACCTGTTTTGCTTATTAAAGCCACTTTCAATACTTGCATACTGTTTCGGTGTTTTAGTCCTCAATGCTATATGTTAAAAAAAATAATGAATTTGAAAATACTGAGAACATAAAAACAATTAAGGACATTAAAATCTTGCATTGTCCATATCCACTATTCCCTATAAATATAAATAAACATGAAGATCCAAAAGAACACCTTCACTTGAACTGGGCAACATATGATGATTTTAATTTGATTTTAGGTTTTTTCGAACATCAGTTTTAGTACTTACATCGCAGCTGTTTTGTGAAAGCAGAAATAAACATATCTTAATCAGACTTGGAAAATATACTGACTTAATTAATTTAACAGCTGCTTCAGTAACCAACACTAAAGAACATAGCCTACTTTGTGGATGTCTTGCTAACATCTGCAACCACAGCCATTAAGCAGTGTAAGATGGAGCTCTAATTTGACTGCCTTGGTGCTCATAGTGCCAGCTTTTGCTTACAGAGAGGCCGTGGACGTAACTGATCTCCTTGAAGTGGTCCTCATGCTTGCAACATCTTGGTCTAATGAAAATATTCTTCCTTTCGAAAGAACAAAAACAAAAACCACTGGTAGTTAAAGTACGATTTTAGAAAACAGGAGTAAAAGCTGAAATCTTATTCCAAAGTTTACTTATTATTAGCTCCCATCCAGAAGCTTCATTTAGATAAGCACTTCCATTTTTTCTTAGGTAAGTCTTCGGTATAAGAACTCCTATCAATTTTAATGCGCTTACTTTTACAGATATCTAATTTCCATTTTGTATAGCACTCCATTACCAAGATCTCCTCATATAAAGTTGTTTCTATAAAGAAACAAAACCTAGGATCCATTTGTTCATGAATTCATGTCTCCAAATAGTCTCTATTTATACACCAATCTTCTCAGTCTGGGATAAAAATCTCTAATGACTTCTTATATTCTGTCTAATTCATTTTAAAGACTTTTCTTATGTGTGTTGCATCTTGATTATTTCCCACCTCGTTCCTGTCTCCCTGGTGCATTAACTTGACCATTCTTTGACTTTTTGCACTAAATCAGAATAAACTTCCTTTAAAAAATGATTGTTACCAAATAGTATACCTGTCTTTCTTCACCTCTCCCTGGTCTCTTTTATACCTGGACTCATTTTTTTTTAATTTTTATTGTTTTATAATCCAGTTTAAGAATTATATGTAGAGTCTTTCTACGTAGAACCAGACTGTACGCTTCCTGTGGACCAGGAACTGAATTCCCCACATAGTGTATGAAATGTGTGTTTAAACGTTTTTATTGGTTGGATAGTATACATAGAGGACGCTTCATTTGTTTGACTGATATTCACTCTAACAGATTGCATTATGAAGCAGAAGCAAAAACGTTTTCACCACCTACTTTTCTGTTCACCAGTAAGCCTGTAGTTAACAATTGTTCCACTAGATGGCACTCATGGCCTAATTAGGAATGTCATTTAGGTTCTCTCCTAGGGATTTTCTGATTCTTTAGGGAACTCAGAGGAA